TACTTCACTTTCACTTGTTATAAAGACCATCATTCATTCTTGAGTTTTGGAGAATATCAAGCTCTTACTTCCCCTGCAGCCTGGTGCATCCTTGCTGCTGCACCAGACAGCTGGCTCAAGCTGGCCCTTCTCTCTCAGCCTCCTGCCTCCCCCTGCTCTTCTTCCATGTTCTCATTTTCCTATTACAGCAAGAAGGGGAAGACCGAGTTCCAGGTCTTCATCAGAAAGGGCTGATTTAGCCAGTGTGGTGGTGCATCCCAGCTGTTCAAGAGCCTGAGGAGAGAGGATGACAGGTTTGAGGCCAGCCTTGAAAACTTAGCAAGACCCTGTCTCACAACAGAATAAAACAAAGGCTCATGACATCTAGGCTCAGAGATGAACTGCCTAGATCAAATTATTTATTTATTTTTTTGTGGGGAGGGTACTGGAGTTTGGGCTCAGGATCACTTGACCTCTGAGCCACATCCCTGGCCCTACTTTTTGTATTTTATTTAGCGACAGAGTCTCACTGAGTTGTTTAACATCTTGCTTTTTGCCTGAGGCTGGCTTTGAACTCTCATCGGATTACAGAAATGCACCCCCACCCCCAGCCCAGCCTAGATCAAGGTTTTGAAGCTGGAAGAAGTCTAGAGAAGAACATTTGCTGATCTCCTTTCTGGTTTTCTGTTCTTTCCTATAAATCCATACAGATGGATTATTTTAGTGTTTCTCATGGTGAAATTGGGCTGTTGCATGAGAATCATCAGGCACTTGTTAAAATGCTGGTTCTTAGTTCCTGTGCTATGAATTTAACCCAGCAGGTCAGCTTTCTGGAATCTTGTTTTTTACACGTATCCCAGGTGAATGTGGTACACAAAGGTTGTGACTCCCAGAGCTAGATGTAATCTATTTCCTCTCAGCAATAATTTTCTTCAGTCCTGTCTCCATTTGATGGAAGAGACTGAATGTGAAGTAATTTGCCCAGGGTCCTGCATCTTGAAGGCCAGAGAACCTGGTCTCCTGCCTCCTAGAGCAGAATCTTTGTACTGCACCTTTGGCTCAGATCCAGGAAGACAAGAGAGACAAAGGAGGGGTGAGGTGGGTAAAGAACTGTGAAGCAAGAATCATTGTCCCTGCCCTCCAAGCCCCCTTCTCCATTCACTTTGCCTTTGGGCAATTTCCGCCAAACCTGGGTGGGGGAGGGTAGGTTTCCGGTGTTGAAATGGCATCCTGGACAGACATAAACACCCCACCCACTCTGCCCACTGGCCAAGGGCCTGTGCCTACATGGACTCCCAGCTCTGGGGATGGTACTATAATAAGGGGGTGGAGACAGGACTCAGGGAGATCCTCTTTCAAAAGAATAATTTGTACTTTCCACCAATTTTATAGTTAAGTCCAAGAGTAAATTCCTTATTAAATGGTTGTGATGGTCAATCCTTGTGGTGGGTGGGTGGGTGAGGTTATCCAGTCCTATCCTCTGTCCCATAAATTTCCTTTATTCTAGCCTGCTTCTCTTCCATGTGGTGGTGGTGGTAATGGTGGTGGTGTGTAAACCTAGGCATGCCGTGTCTGGCCTCAGAGATCAGAAAACCCCTGCTAAATCTACTTCTCTTGCTGAAGTCAAGGAGAACAGATGCAGTGTCAGGGAATAGAAAGGTAGGACCAGAGAGAAGACAAACAGAGATAAGGGTTTTCTGGGGATTTTAAGCTGTCAAGCAGAAAGGGACCTCCAAGTTCAACTTGTCTAACTTCTTAGTTTTATAAATGAGGAAAGAACAGGCTCTGGATAGGAGTGTAGTACTCAAAGGTCTAAAGAGGTATTCCCCAGCAGGGCATGGTGGTGCACACCTGTAATCCCATCGATACAGGAGGATGAGGCAGGAGGATCGCAAGTTTGAAGCCAGCCTCAGCAATTTATCAAGGCCCTAAGCAACTTAATGAGATCCTGTCTCAAAAAAAAAAAAAAAAAAAAAAAGGGGCCTGGGGATGTAGCTCAGTGGTAAAGTGCTCCTGGGTTCAATTTTCAACTCCTGGTACAGGAAAGAGAGAGAGAGAGAGAGAGAGAGAGAGAGATTGCCCAGAAGAGAAAAGGGACTGAGACACCACAAAAAGAACTGACTGAAGCAGACTGCCTATAGAGGCCCAGAGTATGAAGACCCAGAAATGATACTGGGAGGCCTTATGGATGAGCAGAGTCAGGTTCCAGATCATATCCTGCCATTTTTCAGCTTGAATCAAAGACATACTTATAGGATCTGTAGAAATCTTTTCTTTCTTTTGTACTTGGGATTGAGCCCAGGGGCTCTTTAACACTGAGCCACACCCCCAGCCCTTAATATTTTATTTTCAGACAGAGTTTTGCTAAGTTGTTGATGATCCTCTTGCTTCAGCTTCCCTAGTCACTGGGATTTCAGGTGTGTGCTACTGCACCTAACTGTGAAAATCAATCTTATAAACTAATAATGCTTGTAAAGCACCGGAACAGTTCTTTTTCTTTTCTCTTCTCT